TCCGGCAGATGCTGGAGGGCAAGCCGCTGGCCGACAAGATGCGTCCCGACACGCTGCAGGACTACATCGGGCAGAGCAGGGCCGTGGGGCAGGAGACGCTGCTCCGCTCGCTCCTGGAGACCAACGAAATCCCCTCGCTCATCCTGTGGGGGCCGCCAGGCTGCGGTAAGGTGAGTGTCGCCTTGGCCAAAGGGCTCCCGCGTCTCGAACTCGACGGCCGGGAGTGGGTGGAGCTAACGGTCCCAGAGCCGCGGGTGCTTCTTACCGGCGGCGAGTGCCGTCCCCCGAAAAATCCGCGCGGCCTGCCTGGGTACAAGCCCTGCGGCGCAGACAGCGTCCGAACTGGGGCAGTGTCTGGTCCACAGGTGGAGTCGGTGATGGGCGTGAACAAGGCACACCCCCCAGATTCGTAAGACACATTTGCTGGTCGTTTTCAAAAGGAGAATGTCTGAATTCATAGGTTTACAAGAAGCTGTGGACGCTTAGATTTGATCTACGTTTGTGTTCCATCGCCCTCCCCCCAACTTTTAGTGACCCAGTTCTCAAGGAAACAGCATGCTACAAAAATCGTAAAGGAACATTCGTATATCGCATTCGTATGTGGGTTGAGCTTTGAAGAAAACAAATTCTTTTTACTTCTCTTGTGCTTCCTTCCCCTCTCAGTAGTTGTTGGTTTATTCTAACAGACTGATTTTCACTTATTCTTGAGAATATATTTAACAGGACTAATATGAAAACTCCTCTCTGCGAGTCATTTTCACCTCACGTTTCCATAACTTTTCGTATAACGCCTGTAGTTTAGAGAAGAAACATCAGTACAGTTCTGTGTACCTTCGTTGGGGATTAGCACAAGTCCAGAGGAGGGCAATTAGGATATTGTGGGTCTAGAAGACAGGTCATTGGAAAAACACTTGAGAAAAAGTGGAGGAGTTAAACCTGAAAAAACAGACGGCTAAGAGGTACTTAAATATAGGTTGCTCTTGTCCATAGCAAGAGGGAAGAGGGAGAAGACAGCACCAGTGAGCAGAAGGCAAGAGGTCTTGTAGCTTTGAGGTTCAGACTCCTTCATCCACGAACAAGGGCTTTTATGATTTTACTCCTGTTTTTCTTTCCAGCTTCATTTCCCACAAATTAACCACTCCTCCCTTTACTCCAGTTCCTGGAATGTGTCTTGTTCTTTTTGTGCCTTGTTTGTGCTTATGCTTTCCCTTTGCCCAGGAGTAAATCAGATCTGTCCCATAACATTTTATGATGGTTGGGGAGTTGTTGATTTCGTCCCCGTGGATTTTGCCCATTTAGGACATTGAGCAGTAGCATTCTTAGTAATTGTCTGTGAAGTCTTTACATGAGGTCATGAGAATGGATAATAAGCTCTTGGTGGTCGCAGATGGCAAGAAAAAAGATTCCTAGGGAGATAAATAAGTGGATAAGCTCCAGAAAAGATGCCAGGCGAGAGATTTAGTGGGCCAGGCTGTTCAGTGAGGTGGCTGGTGGTAGTCGCAAGCCCACGAATATGTCACATGGGAGCCTGATTTCAAAAAGTAGGTAGGCTGGGATTTGGTACAGAAGCAGCCATGATATCTAATGGCACCATTCAACTTTTAGAAAATAAGGTGCCACCTCTCCATTCAGGAGCAAATTTGTCCTTCTCGTTAAGCAGTCTTCCCTTTTTCTTTATTGTCATTCTTAACCACTATAACGCTGACAAAATAATATTAGTAACAGCATATTCGTATTTATGGAGCTCCCGTTAAATACCAGGTACTGAACAGTGTTTTCCTTAGATCTTTCCTTTGTTTTCTGGTAAGTGCTAACATGACCCAAGTGCTGTTGTTCCCCTCCTTCTAGAGTGGACATTCAGAAGTGGCATGCAGTCATCTCAAATGCTGGCTAGTTGTCTTTGGTCTCTCAACTCAAAGGCTCATTCACTCTCCTCAGCTGCTCTGCTGAGCTTCCAGTTTTATCTGTGCTTACACCTAGGTCCTTCAGCAGCAATGTTCTCTCCGCCAGAGAGGAAGAATTTTCTTTTCTCTTTGGCGAGAGGTCACAGCTGTCACCCAGGCTCTGCTAAATCAAGACAGCCACTCTTTACTGGGATTCCAAAGATCTTAAAGAGTCCCCCAAAAAGGAATCAAAAGGCGTTAGGGACAAAGAAGAAAAGGTCAGGATTAGTCTAAGGTTTAAATACTTTCCTGTTTTATTTATAATGTTGTTTGTTTTTTTTAATTTTTAAAAATGTGCTATGGTATTTCGGATTGTATCTATGCTGCTAAGCATTCTTCAGAGTTCATGTTGCTTGGTAAATAGAGCTAATGCTGTTTGAGGTAGTGCCCATGGGTGCTGTTTACTCTGCATCTGATCCGCTTTTCAAACTGTGTGTGTCTTCTTTTCTAGACCACTCTGGCTCACATCATTGCCAACAACAGCAAGAAACATAGCATAAGGTTTGTGACATTGTCTGCAACAAATGCCAAGACAAATGATGTGCGAGATGTCATAAAACAAGCTCAAAATGAAAAGAGCTTTTTCAAAAGGAAAACCATCCTTTTTATTGATGAGATTCATCGGTTCAATAAATCTCAGCAGGTATATTAACTTCCTTCTACCTTTTGGTCATTGCAAACATCAAATAGAGTATAAAGTATGCGGAATCACTTTGAAAAGTATAAAGCACCATACAAAGGGTAGGGACTTGTTGTCATTATTAACTTTGTCTACAAGGAAACATAGGCTTGTCAATGCATCACTTTCCAGCCTATTTCCCCACACTTTTTCTTAGTGTTTTTTGGTGACAAGAAAATGCTTTCTCTGTCTGACAAATGAATTGGTTGGTATATGCCTGAGCTATACCTATCAGAAAAGTAGCTTTGGATCAGGTTTCCAATTTTTAGAAATTTTTATTCCAAATATTAGGAGTCATTGTGAACAGTTTAACTTGATTCTAAGATCATTGTTTTAATGTTTTTTATTTCTCCTCAATAAACTATTACTTTTTATTTTCAAAATTAGAGTCTTTATCTTCTGTGACTTCAGGCTCTCAGCAGGCTGAAATGTTACAAGATCTAATCATTACTGTTTATTTAAATGGCTTTGTGAAATAAAAGTAAAAGGACACAATTTATTTTTATAAACCAATGCCACTTGGATTTTTTTCTATATAGACATTACAGTTTTTTTTCAGGTATTCTTATTTCCTTGATATATTTTGCTGCAGCTATTTAATAAGTAGAAATATTTCACAAAACCCTGCTAAGCTTTTTTTTTCCTGATTCAAATCTTTTTGAATAAACAGACCCTTTGGAGTTCTGACTGGATGTTAGCATTCTGGGTTTCTATTAACTCATCTTAGTATTTCCCCCAAGTAAGACAGAATCTGTTAGTTACATATTCAGCATGTTTGTCAGGAAGAATAACAGTACCATTGAGTACTTGCACAGGAAGGAGATTTTGGAAATACTAATGTTTTTGTGATTTTTTTACTCTTCTGTAAATAAATAACTTTTGTGTATAAGTTGTGTGCCATTTCAACCTTGGGTAGAAGATGCTTTCCTAAGTAAAAAAGTCATTTATGTTGAAACTAAATTAGAATTCTACTTAAAGCTGTTAGTCTACCAACTAGAGATCAGGCTTAGACACTGGCTCTACTGAATGTTACATCAGTATTCAGTGACTATAAAGCCGCTATTCCTGAACACTAAAGATAAAAAAGGAAGGAATGGATAGCCAACTTACGTAGGATTCTGTAGGTGGCTGTTGACTGGAATCATTTTCTTCTGTTTTCCTCCCATGATTAGGACACTTTCCTTCCTCACGTGGAATGTGGGACGATCACTCTAATTGGAGCAACCACTGAAAACCCTTCCTTCCAGGTCAATGCTGCTCTCCTGAGCCGCTGTCGGGTAATTGTTCTTGAGAAGCTTCCAGTAGAGGCAATGGTGACTATTTTAATGCGAGCGATCAACTCACTGGGAATCCACGTCCTGGACTCCAGCCGTCCCACTGATTCTTTGAGCCACAGTAGCAACAGCAGCTCTGAGTAAGTTGACTGTGTGCAGTGTCCTGGGGACACTCCTCCCAGAGAATCTCCTGGCATGGGGCCAGAAAGGGCTGGGCATCAGTAATGAGTGGGTGGGGACAGAGAAGAAATGGTGATCTGCTAGTAATGGAAATAAAACAGGAGAGAAATGTTCAGTTATACAAACAAGGGTATCTCCACAAACATTTCCTTTCTTTTAAGATGCAGTTTCAGCCTTTTATGGGTGTGACTATAATTCTTCAAGCTTTAATGTTACTTGGTTATTTTACTTCTTGGTGTTTGCTTTTGTGCTTAAGGTTCTTTTCCTAGCACATTTTTTTAAAAGCTTGGAAGACTTATGGGAAAACTTATTGATTATTTTAAAGGGTTTATCCCCCTCATTGAATAGAACAAATTTCTAGACAACTTAACAAAACTTTTGAGATTTGTACTCAGGTTCCAATTTCTGTTTTTTCCTGTAGTTTACTAATTTTAAAAACATTAAGTGAAAATTAACGTAACTGTAACCATAAAATTGTTTAAACCTTTTTGCACACTCAAAAAGTTAAACTCAGTTCCATGAAAGTAAAGGAATTTTGACTGAAAATGACCTATTAGAGGCTGTCCCTTTCCTCTTGGTGATTTGCTTGTACACCATGAGTACCACATGACTTCATTAATGCACAGGACAGGTGATCAGTTTGACTCCTTGGGTTAGAAGTTTTCCTTTGTTTATATTAGAACATCTTCTTCCCATGTCCTTTGTTCATGTATTGGCTGAAATCACACAGTGTAACATAATCTGATCTGATGAGAGGCTGTTGCCATCCTCCTCCTGCTGCGGACCCCAGCTGCTCACGCCTGCCCCGGGGCCAAGTTTTGGAGCCGCTTTTCTGTGAGGATTAAAGTACAAGGCATAGTTTCAGGCTCAGGGTTTAGGTTTCAACAGTCTCCCTATATGTCTGCCTCCCATTTGCTCTTGTAGGATTCTGCTGTGCCTCATGAAAGACTGGAAGCATTTGGCCACAGACCCCTGGACAGAACGGAGCTGCTTCATTTTAGAGTACAGTTGTGATGGGATAGACATTAGAGCTGTGGCTAAAAGTGAAGTATGGAACCTGCTGGCATCGGTCAGGTGGTCTCCTACTGAGGAGCCCATTGTGTGCTGGATACCTGTCAGGGTCTAGGGGGCTCCTGCCAGCCCCTTGTGTCTAGCACAGATTTCCCTTAACAAAATTCTCATCACAGGCTCAACAAACCATTTGGTAAAGACAAATTGAAAGAGAAAGGAGAAAAAATCCTAACATTTTTCCTGTGTATTTTTTTTTCTGTGAACTGGTTATCATAAGATGTCCACAGCTTTATATCCTGCATTTTTGTTTATCTAGGGCCATTTTTATTTAATTTATGTCATCCTTCCCTGGAATGAGTTATTCAGAAACCCTCAGGTTTTTCCCTTCTCCCTAGTCATAACGTAAGTGACAGGAGAAGTGCAGTAGAACCATGGAACTCATCCTCATTTTTACAATGCAGGATTTCTTTCTGTACTTTAAAAGAGCCCCAGGTGATTATAGACACATTAAAGTTTGAGAGGATCCAGTGAAAGAATTCAGATTTCTTTATGTCTCCTGCCTTCCTGGGAGGGCTAGAAGGACAGGAACCTGTTCTTGTTCATATCTCTAACATCCAGCACAAATGCCTAGCTTATATTATGTGCATGGTAAATGGTTAGTGAATAATAAATCCTAGCTTTTGATATGAGAACTGTTTAATTTTTTTATATAGTCCAGCATATAAGAAATAATTGGCCAGATATCAAATCAAATAGTATTTCTTTAATACTATTGCCCTTTTCATCGCAAGCAGAGTGAAATAAAAGAATGCCTGTATTTAAAAAAGTAAAAAAGATTACCTGTATTGAGCTTAGATCCATTAATTGGTCTACTTGTTAGCAACTCTGAAAATAAGTTAAGTTACATTATAAGTGATTTTATAGTAGAAGTACCTGCCACCACAGGTGCCATGGGTAATTAAGAGTGGATTGTGTTGTCTTTCAGTTATTTCAGCTAAAATTTCACTTTCAAATCCCTATTGACTGGCATCAGCTGTTTATACATCTTTGTGCTCATAAATCAGATTTGATTGCACTAACCTAGCTGGATGAAAAGACTTTTAACCCCAAATGATTATTTTCTCTCTCTGGGAAGCTATGAGTGTGCATTTGTATTCTTGTGTCATGTTTTGGTCCCCTAAATAGCAAGTAGAACATTTACAGAGAAACCCTAGGCTGTTGGAACCTATGCATGAGAGGAGAGATGAGCAAGCAAAGGCACCGGATTTAGAAATTAATCAACTGATACTTAGACCATTCTTGATTGTGACTTGAGGAATTGTGAGATCTCACACAGGATACACATGTATGTGATAAATTCCCGTTAGAGCAAGATAAAAGTGTTCTTTAATTGTCCTCATATATTTATTTCTTTGGTAGAAACTGAAGGTCCTGCCTGTGCTAGGCATTGGCTAAGTGTTGAAACACTGAGTGCTCCTGTGCCTTTAGAGAGTGTACAGGGTGATAAAGGCTGAATGAGCAAATCAACTTACAGTACCATGCAGTGATCAAGCTATGTGCAGGGGCAGTGGGGTATAGAGAAGAAGCATCTAGAATATGTAAAATCAAATGTTTCTCCTCCTAGATAAGGGGATGCTGAGTTGAGTTTTGAGGGATAAGCAGAATTTAACTGGATGGAGTAGAAAGCTCATTATCTGCGCCATAGTTCCTTTGGTTTGCATGGCTGGCTGATCAAGAGTTTTCATGTATTTTCCTCTCTAAAAGCATTTTGATCCCATGATACAAACAGTGAAGCATGCTGTCTGTATACTGGGTTGATTTTGGAGACCAGGAAGCAAAATCCGTGCTCCATAGTATGATGAGCTTGTGCTGCTGAAAATGAGAAAGTGAACTAGTGTTTAATCATCTTGCACTACTTGCTGCTTGAAGGATTGTAGATTCTCAGATCATAGGACATATGCATATTCGAAAACACTTCTACGACTCAATTGTTTGTGGACCAGATAGAGTGCCTAAGTCTGTGGAGACGAAGAGCGTGAAATGAGAGATGGTGATTGCCCACTGACTGTATAGCTAGTCCAAGTTCCAAGAGTTGCTTGAGAGAGTTGAAGTGGTGTCTGTCCTTGTGTAAGGTGCTATGGCTTCACTCTGAGTCTGGGGCTTTTCTGTAATCATCTGGAGAGGGGTGCCCCAAAACATGATGACTACAGATTTTTTCCTTTTTTGATAAAAGTTTAAACTGTTTTGCCTGTTTCTCAAAAATAATCTTTTCTACCAAGGAATAAAAATAAAAGTAGTAGAATACCAGAATAGAAGGTACTGGCAAGAATGGATTGGGTATAAAGTAAATTTTAATAATCTTAAAAGCGTTTTATATAGAGAGAAAAAAGGCGTATTAATATAGTACATTAATATAGCTGTTTTAATATAAAGAAAAAGGTACATTAATATATTTTAATTAATATACAACACAAAGAAGAAAGGCCCATTGAAATGATGCCATAAAAACATCAACAACCAGAAACATAGATCTCATGGACCTTGTATTAGTTTCCTGTGGCTGCTGTAACAAATTACCACAAACTGGTGGCTTAGAACAACAGGACTTTCTTCTTGCAGTTCTGCAAGCGAGAAGACTAAAATCAAGGTGTCAGCTTTCTCCAGAGCCTCTGGGGGAGAGTCCTTCCTTCCAGCATCTGGTGACTCCTGGCATTCTTTGGCTTGTGGCCATTTCACTCCAGTCTCCACCTCTGTCTTCACAGGGCCTTCTTTGTTTCCCTGTGTCTTCTCTTTTTCTGTCTTGTAAGGACATTTGTCATTGATCTCATCTCAAGATCCTTAACTAAGTTATATCTGCAAAGACCCTATTTCTCAGTAAGGTCACATTCACAGTTTCCAGGAATTAGGACTTAACGTCTTTTGGGGTCATTATTCAATCCACTGCTGACCCCTGCCAGGTATATGGTATAGTGAATTTGGAAAGACATATGCTTCCTTGGGGTTAAATAGAAAGATAACATCATCTGTGAAATATATGTTCTTTCTTTATGGAGAAAGTAAGTTTGGTTTTGTTTTGCTTTCATTCTGGTTATTATAGAAGCAGCAGAGTTTGGGGCTGGACGCTGAAGATTTGAGATTCTGGAAACATATGCTATTGGCCAGTCTAATTACAATGATACTCATCACTGATAATAACAGTAGCTAAATTACTGAGTGCTCATGATATGGCGGGCACTGCTCTGAGCATTCTGTGTGTCTTACCTCTACAGCTCTGCAAAATAGGTATCAGTACTTCCTTTTTATGAGATGAGGAAACTGAGACATAAAAAGGTTAGCATGTGCCCAAGATCACCAAGCTTGAACATGATGGAGCCCATTTTTAAGGCATGTTGCTAACTACTAAGCGGCCTTAGTTGCTAGAAGGAGTCTAGGCACCAAGTTAAAAGAGAGTGCTACTGGTGAGTGTTGCCATTGCAACCTTTTGCTGTACACTTCTTTGTGTAAGGGCAACTCTGTACTAATTTGATTAGGTACAAAAGAGTTTCAACTGTAATGTAGCAGTAGTAGGTTTTAACCAGATCTGCACATCACACTTACCCGGAATACATTTTGAAAATATACATGACCAGGGTCTGTCCCTGGAGATTTGGGAATTAGAAAATCTGTGGCAAGGTATACATCTGTGTTTGAGGATAATTCTCTAACCTGGTGCACATCCCTGGTTGAGAACCACTGGACAGAGCTTGTTATCCTGACCATCTAACGTGTTACTCTGACCATGTAGTCCTTAGTGAAAGAGATACCCGGAGTTTGGTTTATAATTTAGTGGAAGAGTTTAGCCAAGCCACATATATTCTTTTGTTCTGCCATGAAATAACAGGTACATTTTTATTTACTTCACTCCTCTTCCAACTTAAACATCAGCCACCTAAGTGGTATCCTCCAAATCCCGATATCATCCACCAGGAGATTAATGTTCAGAAGGATCCAAGCCCTAGAAGAGAAAAGGGAAGGAGGAAGTGTCTTCCCCTGTTACGATCAAAGCTTTTCTCTTCAGTTGGAAAAGTGAGGTTCTCTAAGTCTGTTTTATTTCCAGGTCTTGTTAACTAGGAAAATGAGCTTTTCCAATGCATTTATTTTAGCCATATTTCCTCCATATGATGGAACAGTTTTTTATTACATTGTAATAACATAATTTACTATCTATTGAGTATTTCCTTGTAGGATGCTATGAAATTTTGGGCACTCTATCCCCAAAGTGGATTTCACCTCATTTAATTCTGTTCTACCTTTAGAAGGTTATTTCCAAATGCAAACCATTTTATAAGTTTATGCTTAAATTTTAAAATAATGTTAACTTCTCTAGCGTAGGAGCACTTTTCAAGACACTTTGTGTAATAGTTACTGTTTGCTGAGGGATTTTGCACACGTCAATACAAATACCCCTCACTTCTTTGTCCTTGACCTGGCTTCTCTCATCTGCTTCCCCTTCTAAGGTCTCAAGGTATTTTAGTACATCCTGTTTTATTACTCTGAAACTTAGCTAGAGCATACAGGCTCAGGGTATATTTGGTGATGAGTAGAGCCTTTAGAACACTGCACAGTGTTCTGAACAGTGAATTTCCATTTTGTTATTTCCTGTGTGACCATTGTTCGTTCCATCAGCAGGCCCATTTTATTGAACAGGATTGCTGACAGATTCACTTGAATTTAAAAACACTCTCTCCTTTTGGACAGGGGTGAAGTTTGGAATGTGAATTATACCCAAGCGGAGAAAGAAGAAGGGAGCAGTGGAGGTTTGGATGGCTTTTGCTGTGGCAGCACCCCCGTCCCCCTGACTGCCAACCAGAACAGTAGAACAACTTGTACTTTTGTTAGGAGTTTCACAATCAAAGGAGGGATCCTGTTTTCCAACCACATAAAATGCATGCCCATTTTTAAAGGTTTATTCACAGCATACTTTTTTGTAAGTCTATGGAGCAGTCTGCTAGTTGGCTCCTAATTAATGAGGTCTGCCCCCTGACTATGTACAAGAACTAATGGAAATAGTAAGTACCAGGGTAGATAAAGCCACCCATCTTGTCTTTTCCCCAAGAGCACTTCATCTTTCTAAATGCATATAAAAGACAAATTCATAGGAAAGGGATGTATACTAAAACACTAATGTTAAGATAGTCTAGCAATAGATGACTTTTCTCCCTATGTCTATTCTTAAAATTTAATATCATGTACAGTTTTTTAAAAAGTAGTATTCAGAGGTCTGAATAGTTTACTTGTTTTTTGGACAATTATTTTGTTGTTAAGGATGTGAAACTATACACAGTATGATCCCAATTTTGTTTAAAAAATTGGATATAAGGTGCACAGTTGCATGAGTGGGTGGATCATAAAGGAAATTCAACAAATGACATAGTAGCTGTTGTTATCTGTAGGTGGTGAAGATAGGGATTTTTTCTTTCTTTATACTTCCTATATAATTTTTTAAAGTGAATGTTTCACTCTGAGATTGTCAGAAAATTGAAGTTAGGGGCCAGCCCGGTGGCGCGCTGGAGAGTGCGCCGCTTGGGAGCGCGGCGGCGCTCCCGCCGAGGGTTCGGATCCCATGTGGAGACCGGTTCCCGCTCACTGGCTGAGTGCGGTGCGGGCGCAACACCGAGGGTTGCAATCCCGTTGCCAGTCCCCGGTACGGGCGCGACACCGAGGGTTGCGATCCCGTTACCAGTCAGTAAAAAAAAGACAAAAAGGAAAAAAAAAGAAAAAGAAAATTGAAGTTAGACCATTCATTGTGCAAAAATATTTGATGCCTATTCTCTACTGTGCCCTGATAAGAATAAAACATGATTCCTGTCCTTGAGGTGTTTAACATTTAGTGGGGATAGAGAGATGATGAACGTAATCAACAAATAACCCAATGCAGGGCTCAGAATATAGGATAGTTCAGTCAATTAGGATTGATTAGAGCACCTGCTTTTATTCTTTTTTCATCCTTCAATCATCCTGCAGGCATTTTGTTGCTAGGAAGCTTTCTAAGAAGATGAAAAGCTTTGCTTTTATTAGTTCCGAGGCAGAAATGAGATGTTCAGGCAATTTTGGTTCTCTTGACACCCCCCCCCCCACACACACACACACACAGAGGTAGTGTGCAGTAACTGAGCTGTGTTCCTTACCCCTCTGGCACATTGTATGTTGCTACACCCCTCTGCTGCTGGTCCCTCCATTATACATTTTCTTTGGTATGTATTTTGTCGTTTTCTTCTAAGTCATTTTCCAGAAAATCTGCTAAACAGCTTCCATTTGAGAAATGGTCTGAAAACTACAAAGTGCCAGTGGTGTGGCCTCAGCCTGTGTGTTGGTTAGGTCTCTGCTGAGAGGACCCTGCCATCAGGAACAAGGAAGATGGTCTCCAGCCTGTAACCATGGCTTTGGGGCCCAGGCTGTCAGTGAGACTGAGGAGAGTTGTTCATTGTAAAGCTAAGACAAGCCAGGTGTCTATGAGTGATGAGAGAAGCACAATGAATAATTGGAAATCTTGGCTTTGGTAAATAGGGGAGCATGATGAGGCATCTTTAAGACTTTAGAAATAAATCTGTGAACGAAATACAAATTGGTGTTATTCACGTTATTCACCAAGCAAAGTAGTGTGGGTGGGAGTCCAATAAGTAATTCTGCACTGACCCCAGCAAACAAGCTGGGCCCCCCTACAGAAGCCTAACCTGGCCCAGCCCAGTTGGTACCTATGCGATGTTCTCTAAGTAGCCGATTTGGACAGTCCTGATGGATTTATTAATTACTGTAGATATTTCCAGCTGAAGGTTGGTAATCACATGGGTGAACTGTAACTTTGAAAAATTATGTTTTACTTTGCACATTTGCAGGTAGCAGCTCAGCAAGGAATGAGTAAGACCTCTAAATAACAAAATGTCTTAAATATCTTGTCTACCTCAAGTAGAAACAGAAAATTCTGCTGAATCAGACTTAAAAACTAATCACAGACCTGCTTTATGAAGGTCCATATTTAGAAATGTGATTGTAAATTTTAGTCCTGACATACAGAGAGAGGTCAGATGACTTCCATAGCTCTCTTGGCTCCGTTCTGGCAGCGTTTGTTATCAGTTCCCTGGATTGCGAAGTCTCTGCTCCCCTGTGCAGATTTCATGTGATTAGCACCCACTCTGGAGTGACCTTCTGCAGTTCTGAAAATGCCCGGGCCAACATTCCATAGACCTGCTTCTAGGTCTCGCTGTGCGCAAGTAACTGGGGACCTGGTGTGTTGGTTGTAAAGTGAGAGAATTGAGCCACAGTTCCCTCACTTTGACGTTTGTGAAGTGAGGGAATATTAGCCTTTCAGAGCTAACATTCTGATGCGATGCCATCTCTTCCCTGTGTGAAAAACAGCAGAAGCGTACCTGTTTCCTCAGGATGTGGGCTGCCTTTGAAGCATGTTTTCCATACACTGTAATGAAGTGCAAGTGTTTCTAATAGTTTTCACTGCTACATAGAACCAGAGAGATCATGTGTCAGCAGACATTCAGTGTCTGCTTCACACAAGCTTATATGTGTGAACTTGTCCAATGAGATGCCCTCATGGCTCATAAAATACAGTGCAGTACCCTTGCCACTCATAAGATCTGGTTAGTTGTTAGTCTTGATAATGCTTAACCATGTTAACAATGTGAGTTCGGAATAAGGCAAAAAAGCCTTGAACTAAGATAGTTTTTTAGTGATCTTGCTGAGAAGTATAGTTTCCTAACACCTGCTACAGAATGCGAAGTGTTTAACCTGAGCGTGGCAGTAACTAACACTGTTGTGTTGCAGGCCCTCCGTGTTCATAGAGGATAAAGCAGTAGACACTCTGGCTTACCTCAGTGATGGGGATGCCCGAGCTGGGTTGAATGGACTGCAGCTGGCAGTGCTGGCCAGGTTAAGCTCTAGGAAGATGTTCTGTAAGAAGAGTGGACAAACCTATTCTCCCAGTAGAGTTCTCATCACTGAGAATGATGTGAAGGAAGGCCTCCAGCGATCCCACATTTTATATGACCGAGCAGGTAAGTGAAACTAGAGCAGTGAGTGAGTGCACACAGTCTTATATCCAGGTGCCCTGAGCATGCCCATGGTTCTCAGTTGGGTCTCCAAATTGGTAATAGAATTAATAAACCTCCCATACAGGCCTGACCTTTCTGAAGAGAGCATAAAACAGAAGCTGCCTAATAAGAATCAAGAGGAGTTTTAGGGTTTGCAATGGTAGCACCTTGTAGAACACAAGCACTTTTGAAAGCTGGTGCATTCAATTGACAGTGAGTAATTCTATGATCATTTGTAGTGGTGGTAAATAAGAGGACTTTTGCAATAAATGATTTATTAGTTTGAGAGTTAAAATTCTTAATTTCTTTTTTTTTTTTTCTTTTTTTTTCCTTTTTGTCTTTTTTCGTGTCCGGCAACGGATCGCAACCCTCAGTGTCGCGCCCGTACCGGACCGGGACCGGCAACGGGATCGCAACCCTCGGTGTTGCCCCTGCACCTCGCTCAGCCAGTGAGCGGGAACCGGTCTGTATGTGAGACCCGACCCCTCGGCGGGAGCGCCACCGCGCTCCCAAGCGGCGCACTGTAGCAGTGCGCCACTGGGCCGGCCCTAAAATTCTTAATTTCTTGAGTCTAAACTAAAAATTAAATTTACATGGATCATGATGCTTTCATTTTGTAGTAGATTTTTTAAAAATTTAATTTTATAGTGTGCACTTATCTGTTTGCATAGAATTGTATTAACAGATACCAGATTTGATAACAGTTCTTATTAATAAATCTGTGACCTGGCAATATGAAGTGTCATAAGCGTGGCACATTTGCATCTTTTTATAAAAGAGGTGAGAGATGAAGATAATGTACCATGGGTTAGGCTGGACTTCTGGTGCTTGAGCATCTGTGTGGAATCTTATCGCAGTAACTGTGGAATAGAATTTCCACATCTTTAAAAGCTATGCCAGAAAAGGAGGCTGATAATTGAAGATTCTAGATCTTGCATAGGCTGTGCCAGACTGAAAATATTTCCTGATGACAGAGGGTCCTTCTTACTGGTTAGAAAAGGGGGTGTAGGAGTTTAAGAATGACTTTGGTCTTAGGCGCCACCTCTTCATGAGCGAACATGCTCGCTGCACAACCTTGGAGACTGGCTGAAGCTTTTTGGCCCTAATACACTCAGCTGATGGTAGTGTAGGCTGTTAATTAGTGCTCAAGACACATTTACACATTGACCAAACAGTCCTGTCTGCATTCTGACATGAACGTGCCTCTCAGCAAGGCCCTTCTCAGACGGCTAGCTCTCCCTGGTGCTCTTGAGTATCATATGAATGTTTGAAAAGTAAAACATTCTAGTTGTAGAGCCCTATTTGCTTTTGGCCAAATACAAAAATTGGAGATATAAACAAAATAAACTGTAAGAGGTAAAAAGATTCCCAAATGCTGGACTCCCCATTGTTCCTGGGCTTTCTCCCTTCTTGTGAGTGTCCCAAAGGAGACTCTTCATTTTGACTGGACCGACTGGGACCATTCTTTCACATGTTATCAGATTGTCAGTTAAAATCCATATAGCATCACATTCCCTAACAGTCAATTATTGAGTATTTTACAGACTTTTTTTTAAATTCTCAACCTTAGGAGATAGCTAATAACATCACCCCCATTTTACAGATGACAACATTTGCCTAGGTTCACAAAGCAAGTGGTAAGGTTGATCCTCAAATCCAGGTCAGACTGGCTACCAAGACAGTGTCCTTCCCTACTGTCTGTGCTTGCCTCCACGCCAGCCCTGTTCCTGAGTGGTCACCCCTCACACATACATGCGCACACGTGTACATGCAGAGCAGGTATTGGAGGTATCCAGTCCCAGAAGTCCTACTTCCTGAGCCCCTCATTGCATCAAAAGGAGCCATGGGATCCCCTTGTCTCCATCTCTGTGCTGCCCAGGAGGAGCTGGGGTAGTGGAAGCTACATGGTGCCAGAGCCGTGAGAACCCTGCACTTAGCACATCTTCCTGCAGACACTCTTCAGGGCAACTGAGGTGCTAGAGAGATGTTCTCTTACAGGCTTTGTTCTATAAGCAGGGATGGTAGAAGCATTGCCTTGGAAACCTGTTAGCTTATACGCTTCTGCCTCTTTATAACTGTCGAGACAAAGACCCTACTCCCAGAGTTTTTATTATTTCTTTTAATGTCCCCTAGTATGTAGTTACCCACTAGTAGGATCCAGTAACGAGTTCAGATGTTTCTGCGTCAAAGTGCAGAAATTTCCAAATGAGAACTTCTTTGCCATGCACTGACATCAGGGTTCTATATAACAATGTGAAATTTCAGGCTATAAAGCAATATATAGTAAAAGCAAAAATAGAAGGTAGCATCGAATAATCGTAGTATCTAACAGTGATACAGCGTTTTTGTAGTGCTTGCTCTGTACCAGGTGTGTATTCTTCATGCAACCCTATGAGGTAGGTGGTCTTGCTATCCCCATTTTACCGATAAGAAGCCTGAGACATAGGGAGGATCGGTAACTTGCTTGTGGCCACAGTGCTGGTAAGTTTGGGGTCAGGCCTGACTACCTGGCTCCATGCTCTTGCCCACTCTGCTGGTGGGATTGTCCCTCATGTTGGCCCCAGTGAAGGTGGCAGAGGATGAGTAGCCTGTGTTGACAGAAAGTGGACTAGAGGTCGATCTTTCCATCCTTTCATACCTGTGCATTTGGCCGGGCCAGCACTCCCCAGCCCTCCTCCCCACCTCCAGGCCAGCAGGGTGGGAGCGTGGGCCAGACCATGTGGGTTTCATGCAGGACACCTTCCCAGCCTGTGTCCATGGCATTCTGACTTCACTAAGGAAGCCCTGAGACAGGGACCACCCGGTTTGTCCACAAAAATCTGGGCTGACACCATTGATCTGCCCTGGTTCTCCTTGGAAGCCAGAGTCCCTTGGGCCTGGCCACCAGCCTTTGGGGTCTTTCCCCTTTGGCAGGCCAGCATCTTGTCACTGTCTCTCCTCTCCACCTGAAGACCAAGTGTCATCTTACCAGTGCAGTCAGCTGCCAGGATTTGTTACTAGGGCCTGAAAGCTGTGCCCAGCAGGACACAGGATTATTGTTGACATCGGCTTACAGACCAGGTGCCTCTCTGGAAGGGCTAGTGCTCATAAGAGTGACATCCTTTGTGTCCTTGTGAGGAGGGTGCCCTTGTCTTGAGCCTAAGTAAGAAAGGATAGTTAGAAAATAGTGAAATGTCTGCACATGCCACTGCCTAGTTCCTGAGAATTGTTTAGCTATAATTTTCCACACTTAAATATGTTTTTTGTAAAACACATTTCACTGCTTTGTTTCCATATGAACCTAGGGTAAAAAATGGGATAAGCCCAAGTGGTGAGAGAGCGGGGCTCCAGTGCCTTCAGGTGAGAGCTGCTAGTTCGTGTGTCAGTCCTTCTGAGGTCCTGCCATGCAAGTGTCCCCATGCCAAGGCTGGCAGAGTTAGTTTTAAATGACCACAGGCCTCAGATATCAGAAAGGCAGCTGGGAAAGACGTTTAGGAACAAATGGGCTATAACAGCTGCCCCTTGCCACTTGAGTCCCCATCCTAATGGTGACAACCAGGCCCATAGTCAATTTTCCTCAAATAGACAGTGAGGGCACAGGATGAAACAAGGACATGAGACTCACTGTCCATTCACTCTTGTCTCTGGCCTACCCGCTGTGGTCTAGGAGGATCACCTTTCAAAGTGAATATTCCCTTCCCCTCACCTTGAGTGTCTGTGCGTGCCCTCAATGTGGACAGCCACAGGTTTCTCCAGCAGCATCCTCTCTTCTGAGTGATCTAGTTTTCCAAACAGGCACCCCAGCCCCACAGAGAACCATGCTGGGACATGTTCCAGGATTTCACACAAATGGCATTTGCAACCTCCTGCTGTTGGAGCATAGTTAGAGGACAGCTGTCAAACCCCACTCTCCTCAGCTTTCCTTCCTTACAATCAGCTGGTTGAAATAAAGGTGTGGCTCAGGTGCCCCTCTTGGGAGCCATGTGTGAGTGGTGCTCTTTGTGGTGTCTAGGAGAAGAACATTACAACTGCATCTCCGCCCTGCACAAGTCCATGCGGGGCTCGGACCAGAACGCCTCCCTCTACTGGTTGGCTCGGATGCTGGAGGGAGGAGAGGACCCACTCTACGTGGCCAGGAGGCTTGTGAGGTTTGCCAGCGAGGACATAGGTGAGTGTGATGGAGGGGCCCACAGCCCTGGGTTCATGTGGGGTGGGGGGTGGCATGACAGGGGGAGTGTCACTTCCTTTGGTCTAAGAATGTCTTGGGACAGTGTGGGACAGTGGAAGAAGATAAGGCTTTATGTGTGAGCTCAGTCTTTTATTCCGTGGTGTGCACGTGCTTTTGAGTGTTTGTGTTCGTAAAGTCACCATTTTCTGTCTCCTCTTCAAGAATGTTCTTACTAACAAGTGGCTGTTAAGAGTATTGAAATAAAAGAGGCCTTTTAAATTTGCTTTGCAGTGAGGTGTGCGGGTTTTCATTGGACAGCTCCCAAAGTAGAAGTAGGAGACTTTGGACACTATTTAAAGAAAAAGATCAGATGAGCTTTATTTTTCTTTTGTCTTACTAAATGTTTTGTTTTTAATGTATGCAACCTTGTGAATGTCTTCATGGCCTTTGTTCTTTATGTTTGTTCTACATCATCTCTTATTTTTCCTAGAAGATGTAGAGATTTTATGCACAAGGAAATAATTCTTGACACCACACAGTAACCGCTCAGTAAATATTTCTTGAATAACTTAACGTGATCAGTGTTAAGCCAATCTGTTGTGCTAACTGGGATTGTTTTGGTCACCAGGTCTACAAGCAGTAATGGTCTCAGGTTGCAACAGCACATGGATAAATCAGAATGATAGTGTGTGTTATGACTTAACCTTTCCTTTGTCTTTCTGTGTGTGTGGCAGGTCTGGCAGACCCGTCTGCATTAACACAAGCAGTTGCTGCCTACCAAGGCTGTCATTTTATAGGCATGCCCGAATGTGAGGTAAAGTAATCAGCTCAGTTCTTTGCAAATCAGTTCCTTTCTCGGGCTCTGTCCCTTTGTGGATTTGAATGTACGTCCCCCTCTTCACCACTGATATATTGGGCCCACTGAATAAGCTGCTTGGCATTTGAACTCCCATTATAGAATCTTAGATGTCCAGAGAGAGATGAGACCTTTGGTATGAATGAGGTCACATTTTTGAGCCATCCTCAGGGAGTCCTGGGGTTCAGAGGAAGAGCCCCAGGCTTTGGGGGAGGGGGCAGAAAAGTTGAAGGAGCTGAACAGGAAGCCTCTGCAAGTTCACCTCCAAGTAGAGCAGCTTTCTATTCTTCTGTTTTATATGCAGGGTCTTGAGACAGTTCATGGAAGAATTCATATTATTTTTTCAATTCTATTTTTCCATGGACTTTTTGTAATACTCTCATATATTGGGGTTTAAGAAAAATTTCATTTAGTTAAAAGTTATTCAGTTTAAAAGAAATAAGTAAAGGCCAGTGGTCTTGTTTACCTCTCGCTTCATAGGAATTTCTTCTCCCTATGACAGGTGGTTATCCAGGCTGTAGGCAAAAGGGGGGATGATAAAAGCATGGGAGAATCTTTTAAGAATTAACTAGAGGTATCTATCCTTGAATATTCTGTGAAACAGAAACTTTCTGACACCTTCCTAGTAAGTGTGTCCTTCTGTGTCATTCCTAGGTGCTTCTGGCCCAGTGTGTAGTCTATTTTGCCAGAGCCCCAAAGTCCATTGAGGTATATAATGCCTACAACAATGTCAAGGCCTGCCTGAGGAACCACCAGGACCCTCTGCCGCCGGTCCCCCTGCACCTGAGGAACGCGCCAACCAGGCTGATGAAGGATCTGGGCTATGGCAAAGGCTACAAGTATAACCCCATGTACAGCGAGCCTGTGGATCAGGAGTACCTGCCCGAGGAGTTGAGAGGAGTCGATTTTTTCAAGCAAAGATGGTGCTGACTCTCTTAGGCTGTGACAGCAGAAGGATGCTGCTTTTTTTAGGGAGGGCCAGAAAGAAAGAGTAACTGGATTGTGAAGTTGGTTGCCCGGCGGAAGTTAAAACAGACCAACATTTTGTGCTAGAAGTATAAGAGTTCCGTAGGTGGAGGAGCAGTTACTTCAACTAAATGTGTAACATTGAAATTGTGTTCATTTGCACTCTGTGCAATGGTTATGCTTATGAAAATATCTGGCAGCTTTGTGCAATGAATAAATGTTATAAGGAATTATCTATTTTGTCATAGTATTTAAGTCATAATGTCATTTCAGAATTCAGTTCTGTAGGATTTTTTTTTTCTTTAAAAAATGTATATTCTGGGTAGTTTCAATTGGTAAAAAAAAAAAATGTAATTGTGATTTAATACTGCATAGTGTTTTGGGTATTTTTTTTATATGCAAAGGTCTTATGAGCCAATAAAACTATTTCAAAGTACTCTTTAATTCTTTAATGTTTTTCCCGCCTGGGATGCTAAGTACCAATATCTGTCACCATTGCATTTTGATAGGTAAATACTGTGAAAGAAGAGTCATCGTAGGTGAACAGACTGGAAAGCTTAATGAAAAGTCAGTGTATCTTTCTGAACATTAGTTATGAGATTTTAAAGAATTCGCACACGTAGTTTTGAGTGGCTTGTGTGAGATTCCAGTGGTCCCCTGCCCGTCCCTCTGCACTTCCTTGTTTCCTCCTGCAGCTCCCGTTTCTGCACAGTGATTCCTGTTTTACTCTGTGTGTTTCCTGAAGTTGCCTGTGCCGCACCCCCTCAGCTAGTGTTCTTCATACCTACTGCTGATTCCTGTCAGACTCCTTCATGGCCATGCAGTGCACGTTCACACAGGATGGTCTCTTCAGCTAGTGGGTCAGTTCTCTTCCCCCGTTGGTGTGGTCCCTCCTGGGGATCCTCTGTCATCCTGGGGCTTGCTCTGCCTTTCTCCTGGGTGAGAAGTCCTATTTCCTGGGTGTTATGTCTTGCCTCTTGGTTTATTCCACCATTTTGGTACAGCACATCTAGTGGTTTCATCAGGCTGGAGAGACGGTGCATTGCAGAGGCTTCGTCAGCACTCGTGAGCCTCCCTTCTTGCATCTGGGCTGGGGCTGCTGTAGAACGTGGCTGCTGTCCTGAGACTCCCTCCAGCATTGCCTCTCCCTGCACGCCATGTTCCATTGCAGGATCCTGGGCTTGCTTTCTTGCCTAGGTGGCACACACCCATTAGTAGCTTTAGGGAGCAAGGATGCATGGGAGGGAAAATATTTTTAGACTTCGAAAGACTGAAAATGCTTTTTTCTACCTTCAGACTTCTCTGATAGTTTGGCTGGAAATAAATTCTAGGTCCGAAATTGTCCACTGTCTTCCTCTGTCCTGCATTGCTGTTGAGAGAGATGAAGATGTTCTGATTTGTGATCTTCTGTTTGTAACCTCTGCAACTTAAAAATCTTTGTTCCTGGTGTTTTGAAACTTTGCAGTGGTTTTCCTGGGTACTTAGTAGACCATTTCAATCTGGAAACTCCTGTCTTTCAGTTCTGGGGAAGTTTCTTACATTATTCATTCAGTGCACATTGAGTACCTGCTTCATGCTAAGCAGTCTTGTTGATGTTGGAAACACATCAGTGAGCAAAAGAGACGAAAAACTCTGTGATCATGAAATAGGTAGTATGAAAAGTGATGTGTTAATATGTCAGGTAATGGTAGATGCCATGCTAAGGAGAAGCCATGCTAAGGAGAAAATAATGAATCACGGAATGGAGATAAAGGTGGGGAGGTGTGGTTGCAGTTTTAGTTAGAGTAGACCCACTGAGAAGGTGGTATTGGACTCGAGGAAGTGAGTGTGCCATTCAGATGCCTGGGAAGAGATCACTCCAGGCAGAGGGAATCAAGTACAGAGGCCCTAAGGGAGGAAGGTGCTTGGCAGATTCAGTGTCCAGTAAGGAAGCCAGTGTAACTGGAGTGGAGGAAATGGAGTGGTAGAAGCCAAGCTCAGGGATGGCGCTTCAGATCATGTGGGACCTTTTTGGTCATAGCAAGCACTTTGGCTTTTACTCAGGGTTTCCAGCAAAAGAGTGTCTTGATTGGACTTAAATTTTAGAAAGATCGTATTTGCTGCAGTGTTGAGACTAGATAGTAGGGAGGGAAGTGTAGGAGAGGGGAGCTCAGAATCTGCAGCGTCCAGGGAGGTGATGGTAGGTAGATCAGACCAGGGTCATGGCAGCGGAGATAGTGAGAAGTGGTCTGATGATGGATACAGAATTTGGTGACATATTGTATGTAGTGCATATATGTGAAAGAGGAGTTCATGTTGACTTTCGTTTATTGAGAATGTAATGTATACCACCTTGGTTTTAAGCACTTTGCATGGACAATTATTTGAATCCTCATAATAACTAAGTAAGCAGAGTACCATTATTTACATTTTCAAGATAACAAGACAGGTACAGAAAGATTTAGTAACTTAGGACCACCGAGCTCATAAGTCATGGAGGGAGGATTTGCACTTGGCACAGTGACACGGTCCAAGCTCTCACCCGTACCCACCTGCACCCTCCGTTTTCTCTGGTCCCTCTCTCTTGAACTCCCGTTATGGACGTTGGCCCTCTCAGAACCAGTCTCTTATTTTCCACCCTTTCTTTTTGCTCTAGTTTCTAGATTCCCTCAACTTTTCACTCCTTCATTGCCATCATCCCATTTTTAATTTTCAAGAGCTCACTTTTGTTCTCTTGAAGTTCCTTTTTTTGTGTGTGATAGCCTGTATTTACATACTTGTTTGTTTAGTGACTGCTTATCTCCTTGAGGATGTGAAATTATTTTTTTTATTCTCTCCCCCTTCCCTCCCATGTTTTGTTTTCCCTGTTTCTTTTGGTCCCTGTCTTTTGTATCAGTTGTTCCTCATGTTTAGGTGTGAACTGAAAAGCAGATCAGAAGCTCTGAGCACGTGGTGGAGGGGGTGGGGTTGACTTTGATCCTTGCTGTGTTATTTGTTGAGAACCCTGGAAGTCAGTGTCTTTCAGACTTTCTTCTTGGGCTGATTAGAGCCCCAGAGAAACTCTTCTGTTCTCCTGCTGGGTCAGTTGGTCTCCATATGGCTCCCTGTGTTCTGGGTGTCAAATAAGGAAACAAGGCATCATATGTCAGTCAGTGTGCATGTGTCCCTCTTGATCTGACTGTGAAGTGGTACCTAAGCCCTCGGCTCTGTCTTGGGTCCTCCAGTTCAGAGATCTTCCTGTGGCTTGGGTGTCTGGGAACCCATCTCCTTAACTTCTCCACCCTCTGCCACCTTCCAAGACTTTGCAATGCCTGCTGTATTGACCAGGCGGGTTCTTCACTTTCCCCACTAGATTTGCCAAGTCAGTGACCACTTGTCCATCGTCCCACCCTCCAGCATGACGGTGCCATTGTTCTCCCCATTTTTAAATGGGATGACTTTTAAAGATTCCTTTATTGTAGTTTTGGTGGAGGTTTAGGCGGAACATGGGTTCACCCATTATCTTTAATAATATTTCGTTAAGAGATTTACAATTCAATTTTTCCTTGATTTTGATTCTTTAATAATAAACTTTTTGTTAAGGGATACAGTCATTTCCAGATAAGTAGTGTGCTTGTGATGGAACCTGGAACCTGGAGAGCACTGTCTTGTAATACCAAGATCAAGGGTTCAGATCCCTGTACTGGCCAGCTGCCAAAAAAAAAAAAAGGAAAAGATGATATGACCTCAGAAACAAGCCTTTTCAACCAGTTATGACTGGTTTGCTGAGGGACTGAGTCCAGTGGTGATACAGGCACCATAAATCCAGTAAAATATTTAAACATTGTAACTCAAACCAGCTACTTGAGACTGTTCATTTTATCAGACATATGGCTCTGGCCGTCATCACGTGTGAAGCAGGCAGGTGTCTGTTCTCACAGAGCAGCGGAATTGGGGAGAAAGCAAAGTACAGTCCCTGTGCTGCACTAGAGGTGTGGGCTGGGCTCCACCTTTCTGTAATTGTAAAATCAAGCTTGAAAGTTAGGAGGTACTTTTTTTTGTTCCAACAAATCTTAAAATATACTAGCAGAGTTTTTTATTTCAATTTTTTAAATTTAACTTTATTTTATCAATATACATTGTAGTTGATTTTCGTGTCCCTTTCCCAAATCCTCCCTACCCCCTTCCTCTCCCTCCATCAATATCATATCTGTTCGCTTGTCTTAACAAGTTCAAGGAATTGTGATTTTTGTGTCTTCTTCCTCATATTTCAAACTTTTTAGAGCAGGTGTTCACTACCTGAAATGTAGCACACAGCATAGTAAGCATGAGTGTGAGAGAAACGGAATTCGCTGATTGGGGGCAGCCCTTCCATAAGTAAGCTGTTTAAACATCGCAAATGATGTACTGTTTCTGAAAAAGCAAGTAATACAGTCACCGAACAGTTTATTCCTTATGTTCCAGGTATGTTTTTGTAGTTTTGCCTCCTGCAGCCACACTTGAATAACAACAATGGTGACAATGATGACGTGCAGAGAACGGTTCCAACTGATGCAATAAGAATAGTTGCTACTCATCTTTTCCAGATACAAACATTTGAACCTGGACATTGTTACCAGTTTATTCCAAACAAGAGCCTTTGTGATATACTGATGTTATATTAGAAAGTACGAATTTCCTATACTTTCACATGTAAACACCATGGATATCTTACTTTTTTATAAATTTACATTTTGAAATTTTACAGTTTGAAAGCACTGTAATACAGATGTAATTCCAGCCAGTTCAAGCCCTCAAAGGCGTTTATAACTTAAGTGGAAACCAAACAGAAGTAAATATTTTTGATAGGAGAGTCAACAGTAAATATTCATAAGAGCAATCATTTTAAATCTAAATGTTTTAGACTGCTTAAAAACATTCCCACTAAAACCAGGAACGATGTCAACGGTTCAGATCCCCTTACCAGCCAGCCTCCCCCCCAAAAACAATCAAAAAATATAACCAGGAAGAAGACACGGACTCTGGCTGTCCCATTGTGTGAGTGGAGGCTGAGGCAAGTCAGGCTCCCAGGAAGACATAGACGGGCCTCTCAAAGGGGTCACTGAGAAACATTTAATCGAGGATTACAAGGACAGTTTTACCTTTGAAAAGGGTGTGAGGGGGCCGGCCCGGTGGCGCACTGGATAGTGCGCCGCTTGGGAAGCGCGGCGGCGCTCCCGGCCGGGGGTTCCGATCCCACATACAGACCGGTTCCCGCTCACTGGCTGAGCGAGGCGCGGGAGCAACACCGAGGCTTGCGATCCCGTTGCCGGTCCCCGGTCTGGTACGGGGGCAACACTGAGGGTTGCGATCCGTTGCCGGAAACAGAAAAAAGACAAAAAAAAAAAAAGAAAAAAGAAAAGGGTGTGAGGGGACCGGCCGGCCCGGTGGCGCACTGGATAGTGCGCCGCTTGGGAAGCGCGGCGGCGCTCCCGGCCG